TTTGCCTACTCTGGTGAGCCCTTCGGCAATGAGTTTAGAGATCAGAGACCTGAGGCTGCAAAGACCTTCTGTCTCTGCTGCTGACCTTTAAGAAGCCAGCTGCTGTGAACCCCATGCCTCAGAATTGCAACCTCTGCCCACAATTTGATGGAGTTTGGGATTACAACCTTCCCAGTCGGGCCTGCAGATGAGAGCATGGCCCAGTCCACATTTCGATGCGGGCCTTGTAGGACTGCAGCAGAGGACCCAACTGAACCATGCCCAGGCCTCTGAGGTAATAAATGGGTGCCATTTTAAGCCAAAAGTGGTGACTTGTAACTTGTCATAGAAACCAGCGTATCCTCTGAACCACACAACTCTGTAGGATGAACAATGGAAATCTCTCTGCTAGAGAAACTTTTTAAGGAATACAAACAAGAAAAAGCTTCTTACAGTCTGCTCCAAATGTCCAAAGTTGTTGGAAGGAAGACCACAGAATTGGTGCTTTCTTCATCTCCTTCAAGGTGGATGACCTGCCAGGTGCTGCCCTATAGCACAGTGCTCCCTGTGAGATCAGGCCAGCAGCCCAGGCCATCTCATGCCTGTCTGAGGGATCTGGCCTCACTGGGAGCCAGTGTGGCAGCCTCTGCCTGAGACAGTCATCCCTACCCACTCCTTCTGCCCCGAGGTCTCCCTTTCTTGCTGGTGTTGGAGCTGCAAAACAATAGTCTCCTGGGGTGTGGATACATGCCCCAGATTTGGGCTCACTGCAGGACCCTTGACAAGCCTGTCCTTCTCTCTGGGCCTCACTTCCCCACCTGCACAATGAAGGCATCATCGATCTGCATTGGTTCCACCTTTTAACCGAAAAATAAACAGCAGTGAACCGAGTCGTTACCACATAACAGGCCTGAGTGAAGGGTCCAACCTGGAGGCATCTTCACTAGGAGCCTCTTAAGTCCAACTCCCATCCATGCCAGTGCTTTGGCCCGAGGGCTAGCTCTGCCCTAACTAGCTGTGTGGCCTCAATGCATGTCCCTCCACTTTCTGGGTCTCCGTTCTCAGATGTGAACATGGCAGCTGTGTGTTTAGTTCCCTGTGTTGCATGACATGCTACCACAAATCCAGCCACACACAGCATCACCCGTGACCTCTCAGCTCCTGAAGTTCAGGTGTCTGCACCCAGCTTAATTGCATTCTCTGCTCAGGATACAACAAGGCTAAAATCAGAGGTTAGCCAGGCCACATGCCTTCCCAGAGCTCAAGGTCACCTTGTATGCTCCCTGACTATTAGAACAACCTGCTCAGCTGCAGCTGTGAGAACGAAGTCCTCATCTTCTTGCTGACCATCAGAGGGGGGCTGCCCCGGCCTTCTGAGGCCACCCGCCATTTCCACCAACAGGCAACTTTGCCCCTTCAAAGCGACAGGAGAGCAAACAACTGCACTTCCAGGTTTTCGGATCTCTTCTACTTCTGATCTTCAGACCCTCTCTGGTTAGTTTAGATCTACCCATACCCAAGAAGAGGGTGATTCAGTGTGTGCCCACTAGGCGGTGGTAATCTTAGGGACCATCTTAGAATTCTGCCTCCTGCACGCCCCAACAAGGCTGTTTTCAGAATTAAATGGGTTAATTATTATATGTGAAGAATATAAAACATTGGCCTGCACATGGGGCCATCTGCTTAAGACTGGAATTCATGTCTCTGTAGCCAGCTCACTTTGGGACCCACAGTTCTCCTCTAACCCCCGCCTGCTTTATTTCATGGTTGATTTCCATATACCTCCATCCCTCACTCCCTTCCTGGACCAGGAGCACCTTGAGAAAAGGAACCATATCCTACCATGCACACTCCAAGATGGTCCCCAACTCCTTCTGGTTGTCACTTCCCTCCTATGAGGAATAGGGCTGGCCTGGGTTACAAATAGGAAGTTGCAGAAACAGCAGAATGTGACTTCCAAGGCCCTGTGGCTTCGCTATGCCCTCTCTGATCTTTGCTCTAAGCAGCTGGTCATCATGCTGGAAGGATGCCCCAGCTATCCATGGAGAGAATACACATGGGGTGGGAGACTGAGGCCTCCTGCCGGTAACCAGCACCCTGGGGGAGCCAGTCGAAAATGAGTCCTCCAGCCCCCATCGAGATTTCAGAAGCCTGCAGACCTAGTGGGGACCTTGACTGCATCCTCCATGAGTCACCCCACTCCAGAACCACCAGCTAAGCCACTCCTAAATCCTCAGCCTACAGAGATTCTGAGAAATCACAAGGCTTTCTTGTTCAAGAAAGTCTTAGAGTCTTACTGAGTCTTAGAGTAATTTGTTACATAGCAATAGAGAACTCGGGTAGCTCTCAACCCATATTCACCAAGTTCAATGAATACTCAACACACAACCATATCTAACAGTCTCTAGTGCCAGTCACTGCTCTGAGTGCCGGGGACACAAAGGCTCACGCTCTGTTGGGAACTGGCTAGTGGGTATCCAAACAGGCCAACGAAGACAGTGGGATGCTGGAAGGAAATTCCAGCCAGACAGTGGTAGGGGAGCAGAAGGTAGCCGCCCAGGCACAGCTATGCTGCTGAGACAGGGCGAGGCAGGAGGCAAGGAGCCAGAGGCAGGCAGGCTGGTAGAGGTAGGGGAACCAGCAAGCACGATGGCCCCCAAACTGGAATTGAATGAAAGGACAGTCACGAGCCAATAAAGGAATAGAGGTGAGTGACTCAAGGTTAACCAATAATGTTTGGTAGATACAAAAATCTCCATCCTCATTCCACATAGTCGGGGGCTGCCTGATGAAGCTCTAGGTCCTCACTCAAACCTCCTTGTGCCACTGTACCCTGTCCCTTCGTGTTTCCTCCACAGGCTCTTGCTGAGGACCTCCCTCTCCCATAAAGCCAACTGTTAGAGCAAGATCTGCAAACCCAAATGCCTATGAGGGCCAGATAGACAATATAACTTGATGACAGTGGGGAGAGGTAGGGACTGCGGCAAGCTGGAAAGCACAGCTCTCTCCCACCAAGGGTGGCCAGTGCTCAGCCCCAGCCAGCTGTCACCATGCAAGAGGCAGCTCTGGTGTCTTCAGACCTTCTAACAGTCAAAAGGAGTGAGAAATCCAGACTTTTGTGTGAAACTAGATTTTTACTATGTAGCTAAAAAGTGTCAGAACTGGCCTAATGAGGTTCTTGTATAACATTTGGCCCCATAGCTGCTTCTGGCTCTGCCGGGCATCCTGGAGAGACATCTCCAGGCCTCTGGGGGCACCAATCTGGGGCTTCCCAGCCTTGTTTGGGAAGTCCCCCTGGAGCATCCACATGTGGGCAGCTGGCAGGGGCACATTGACTGTGGAATTGATGGGTTGAAGTCTTGGGAAGGTACAACCATCCAGGAGACCCCTCCCCTGCTTCCTCTCCTCACATCTTCTGCATTCCTGCTGCTGCCTGAGACTTTGGGCTTGTCAGTGTCACTCAGATGTTAGTGAGAAGCCAAGGAGAGTAACAACCAGGTGCCAGCATCCCTGAGATCCCRGAACCCACAGGCAGCTACTCCAGTCCATCAGCATGCACTCCCCGTTCCTCTGAGGACAGCATCCAAATCTTCCCTTGGGGGACTGCCCCTCCTCAGTCCACCCATTTAGGTCAGGGCTCATGGTTAGGCCTGGAAGCCTGTGTCACAAGGCAATGGGCCTTCTGTTGTTTGGGCTACTTTGATTTGGGCTTCTATCACAAGAGCCTGAATGACCCATGGAATAAAGGATGTGTCCAAAAAATGATGGACATTGGGAAGGACAGGTCGTGAATTGGCACAGCATGGAGATTCCATCCTCTTAGCAGGCTCCAGGGAMRGTGTCACCTTCATCACCCTTTAGCAATACAGAATCTGAGGCCCTCCCCAGAGCTGTTGGGTTCTACTTAGCACTGCAAGAAAATTCCAGAAAACAGGCAACTGGCAAGCTCAAATCTGACCTCTCTGGTTTCCTCTTAAGAAAGTGAGGCTAATAATGAGCCTGTCTCCTAGAGTTTGGGGTGTGGCGAGGAGGACTAGGGAGAAGGCATGAGTGCACCGAGCCACTGTGCCTGGATCAGCTCCAGCTTGTGGTCCTGCAGATGACTGGAAATAGTAGAGCACCCCAGCCCCTGAGGGTTCCAGCAGCGTGGGGGAGAGTTAGGAGCTGGAGTCACTGCTGAGGAGCACATAGACTGGGGGTTGAGTTTGGTTAGATCAGAGAAGGCCCAGAGCATTCAAGGGAGGGACCTGTCATACAGGTATTAGGGTCCTGGTTCAGAGGGTGGCTTTGAGAATAAATAAGGGCAGAGGTCGACCTGGTCACAGGGAATGGGAGAAAAGGAGATCATGGGACAGTGAGCCCAGGAAGCCTCAGGGGGTGGACAGAGAGGGGATTGGAGTTGGCAGAGAGCTTGCTTTTGACCTTGTATGGAATGGGAAGGATTTTGGGCAAAGGAGCAAGATGTCCAAATAATGAGATGAAGGAAGAGTAGTCTTAGAACCTGCCATCCTCGGGCTTGCATTGGTGGGTGTGTGCATGGATATGCCTCAAAGAGAAGGCTGGGGGCATACTCCCAAACATGAGCAGCAATGAGCTCCCAGGGAAGAAAACTAGGTTATTTTATTGTCTTCCCTTTGCTTATCTTTATTTTCTAATTTTTTCTGCAAAGGCCATACATTGTTTGCATAATKTTTTAGAAAACAATAAAAGCTATAAATAATTAACATGCTTTCTCTTCAGGACTTAAATTGGATGGAAATGTATCCAACCCAGTTATCTCAGATATTTGCTGTATTCCTGGTCTTAGAAAGTCACCACTGAAAACCATACAGATGGCAAAGTATATGGGCTGCTGGGAGGACAACTCAGTCCTTCAACTGTGCAGCTCCAGGCCCTGTGAAGCTGGAGCTCTTTCTCGGAGCACAGAGATGCTCTCTGAGTCCCATGTCAAGTTCTCCTTGAGCTTAACTGTGTTGTACTCGGGGCATGTGCGGAAAGCATGGAGGAGGCCACAGTCCTACCTTTTGGGGTTGATCTTCAGCCTTTTCTGCTTGCTGTTCCCACGAGAAGTCTTCACCCTCCTGCGAAACAGTCCTTTCTTCCTTTCTGGATCAGATGGCTGGTCCTGGGACCTCATCCCTGGGACTATTGGGTTGGAGAGCTGAAAATACCAGGCATGTTGGCATGACATTACTCAAAGCCCTCGTGATGGGCAGCCCTCAGGGGTTCTCTCTGCAGATGGACGTCTGTCCATGGACATGAAACACAGAAATGCAACATGGACAAATGGCCTGACTTATATGGGGACTCAACAAGGTGATGGCAGTGTGAGCCTGAACACATCTTCCAGAACCCACCGGGGCTGACTCCACAGAGGAAAGCCTAGCTTCACATGGAGCCTGGGGCCACCAGGGCCCATTTCCCTCCTGAGTCCCTCTCCTCGGGACCCTCACACCGATGGGAAGGAGAAGAGCCAGACTGGACCTTGGATTTCCTCAGTTCCAACATGTTTCTCCTTGACCTGCACCCTCAGGGTGACAAAGATGCCACCCCCCACCCCAGGCTCCACCCAGAAGGCAGGAGAGCTGGCTGCAAGCCTGCAGTCTCCAGTATAGTGATTCTTCAYTTTGAAATTTATCTTTTTATGACTTTCTTTTGTTTTGCTTGCACTGGGGGCTTTATTCTTTACTGCCCTGTGTGTGGCAGCCCCACCTCCCTTGGGAGCAGGCCAAGATATTATCATGGACTGCACTGCTGCAGGAGGGACAGGAGCTGCTTCACCCTCACCCTTCTCTTTAGAGACCCTGTCTACGGAACATGCCGTCAGCCCCCAGCCCAGGGCGAAGCTGGGAATTACCTGAGGTGTCTGCACCAGCTCTCCTCCTCCAGGGCTCCTCCTGGTCCTTCCTCGGTTGCTCACGGGCAGGGCGTCAGGACCTGCATCTTGGAGCCTGCCCCCAGGGAAGTGGAGAGCCTCGTACACTGAAGCGGCCTTCTCCTTCTGCTCCATGGGCAGAGGCAGGCTGCGGCTCAAGCAGCACCATGTGAGCCGGGGCTCAGCTCTCAGCGAGGGGAAGGGGCTCTGGGCCCCACAGCTCCTGGGCGTCCCTAAGTGAAGTGACAGGGCCCGTTCTGGCTGGCCCAGAGACATACCCTGGGGCCTGGTGAGAGCCCTGAGGAAGGAACCAGGCTGCAGGGAGCAGCAGGGGGTGCGCAGTGCCGGTGGCTCTGAAGAAAGGCCTTCTGGGGCATCCTCATGAGGGCCCCTCAGGTCCCCACTGGGAGTCCACAGATTCAGGACACCCTCAGATGTCCTGGACCTTGCCAATGTACTGCCCATGCAAAGACGATGAATGGCGTGCCCCTCACTTCCTGCATCCTGGGCCACGTGGGCATCACACGAGGGGGTGTCCGGGAAGGAGGTCATTTCCCAGGGGGGCCCTGTGGTTGAGCCAGGAGATTCCCTGGCTGCTGGCACTCTGCTGTCTGTCCCTTCTCTCTTCTCCCTTCCCATCTGAGACTCTTGTCCTCCATCCCTTGGCCTGAACCAGCTGGGGTGCTCCAGAATGCCATCTGCCCCACCTGAGGTTGGGCCTGAGCCTGTGCTGAGGGACCAGGGTGTCCCCAGTCCTGGTCCAACAAGGGATGCTTGTTCCTCAGGTGGCCCAGTTGTGCCAAGAGAGTCTTGACCCTGCTGTGGCCTCTGGGTGGCAAGCAGTGCTGAGGGATTCTCTCCCTGAGGTACCTTAAGAAGGTACTTGGGGGTAAAGGCACCCTCTGCCAGAGCAGCCAGGACACCAGGAGCCTGAGGTGGAGCACCCAGCTGGGAGTGGTGGCCCCGGTCCTCAGCAGCAGCAAGCGATGTGGGCTCCTTGTCCCCTGGCCCTGCCCAGCTTGGGGAAGCAACAGGAGCAGTTGAGGAGGCATCAGAAGAGTCCAGGGCTTCAGCCATCAGCTGGGCACTCCCATGTGTCCCCCCTGGCATCTCCCCATGGTCACCATCCTGCGTCTGACATGGCACGGAGGAAGCCTGCACGGGGCCACCAGGGGTCTCTGCTCCTAGGGGTTCTGGCTGCTCCAGGGGTCCCTGCTCATCCACCTTCAGCTTTTTTCTTTCTGAGGGATGCTTGTCCTCTGCAGGCCAGGGCTCCCCAGAGCTACCACTGGGCCGTCTCAGGACAAGTTGGGTGCAAGGACCAGTCTCCTGCATGCCTCCCGCACCCGGAATGCCCCCTTCCACTTTGGAAGCTGACAAAGCCAGCCTGGGCACTCCTAGGTCACCTCCTTGGAGTGTCCCAGGTGCTGGGGGCAGCTGCCATCCTGTTTCTAGCCCCTCATTTGGAGGAAGCAGAGGGCTCCTGTTGCCTGAATGGGGTGATTCTCTGCTACTGAGGGTTGGGGAAGACGCTGCCCTGGGCTGGTCACTGCCTCCTACTCTGGCTTCTGCCTTCCTCTGCTGAGGAGGCTCAGTCTCCAAGGAGCCCTCAGGGGCTGGCAGGCTTCCCCAAGACCCTGGCTTGGCCTCTACAGAAATGCCCTCAAGGATGGGAGTCCTACTGTCTTGGGATGGAACTGTGCTCTCACCGCCCACTGCCTCCTCCTGGGCAGGGAGGGCCGGGTCTGTCCCACGGCCCACTCTCACCTCCCTGGCTTTCTGGCCTCCCTGGTGGCTGCTTTTCACTTTCTGGTAGAGCCTCCTGAACGTCTCGTGCCCATACACCTGCCACTTCTCCTGGGAGAACATCTTCAGCTTCCGCTGGCCACCCTTCTTACTGGTCGCTCTGCCCTTCCAGCTTTCCCCTGCAGCCGTGACGGTTCTCTTTCCACCAGGGTCCTCCGTGGGGGCCGAGGTGTCTCCCGCAAAGGCACATGGCACGTCTTCCACGGCAGCCTGTCTGACCAGGGCCCGGGGGTGGCCACTGGGGACATCTGCTAAGGTCAGCCCAGAGCGGCAGCCCAGCCGGGCTGGGGTGGGCCTGGGGCTCAGGGGCTTCTGTGTCCTGGGGCAGGCATCCTTCAGGGCCCGCGGCTCTGGCCATGTCCTGGAGCCCTCAACAAAAGGCAGTGAATTGCTCCTCGTGAGGGGGACATATTCCACAGTGGTGGACAGCTGAGTGGGGACAGAGTGGAAGAAGAGGGGCCGCAACTTGTCCAGAGGGGTGAAGGTCGAGTGGGCGGGGCTGAGGGCCGCCCTCCTGCGGCCAGGCTCCAGCGCCCGGATATCAAAGTGGAAGGAGTCCTTGTAGGTGTAGGGCATGGGCAGGTCAATGCTGCCCTGCTTGGACAGGACGGTCTTGCGGGGCCGCACGTGGTCCAGCTGGGGGTCGTCCACCACAGCCTGGTTGTGCGAGATGAGCTGGGCAATGCGCTCCTCCAGCCGCTTCTTCTCCAGCTCCAGGCTGCTCCCTGGCACTCCTGGCTCAGCCCTGGTGCCCCCAGACCCCGTGCCCAGGCCTCCCTCCCCCTCGGACTCSGCGCTGTGCTCCGACAGGCTGTGCAAGGGGCTGGAGGGGACAGGCGGCTGCTCGGCACTGTCCGAGCGGGACAGGTAGCCTGAATCGGTACTCTCACACTTCCTCAGTCGGCCCTCCGGGACCTTGGCTTCCCAGGGCTTCTCGGAGGAAGCCTCCTGCTGCCGTTGCAGGGAGCATGTCTTCAGTTCTGGCAGCTTCCGCGGGGGCTGCATGCTGGCCAGCAAGATCCCAGGTGACACCATCTGGGTGGAGTCCAGAGAGGTCTCTCTGTGGGCAAGTGTGGACCCTGGACAGGAAGCAGCTTCTGCCTTCACACCTTGGTTCTTGGCAACAAGGGACAGAGGGGCATCTGGGGAGAGGGGTGTCTCTGGTGCTCCTTCACCCGTCCTCTGGTTCCGACTCTCCCCGCTGCCATCTGCTGTGGAGAGATCTCCAACCCTGTCCCCCTCCTCTGGGAGGCTGCTCCCACCCCCGTCAGACTCCAGGGATAGCCGGGAATTGTTGAGATGAGTCTGTGTCCGCCTGTGCTTATAGAGGTTACTCTGGGTCTTGAAGGCGATATGGCAGGTGGCACACGGGAAGGGCCTCTCACCCGTGTGGGACCTGATGTGCTTCTCCAAAACACTGGGCTTCAGGCAGTCCCGGCCACAGTGTGGGCAGAGGTACCTGCCGGCATTCCGTGCCTTTCCTGGGCTGCCCAGTGTGGGCCCCAGGCCTGGGGACAGGACAGGCAGGGCACCCACAATGTTCACTGTCAGTGTTGGGGCAGCTGGCTTGCCTGCCTGGGTGGGGCCAGGCCCTTCAGGCTGGAGCAGGGGACTGAGGATGAAGGGCACACTGCCCCCATCCAGGCTGCCTGTCACTAGAGGGGCTCGTGGTTGGAGGCCTCCAGGTGGCACCGTGTGGTACAGTGGGATGGGGAGGGCCTTCAGGAGCACGGTGGAGGGCAGGCCCTGCTCTGGTGGCAAGATGACAGGACTCAGAGTCAGGTGAGGTGAGGCCTGCCCAGCTGGGGGCCCTGGGGGCCCAGGTGCAGGAGCTGGCTGGTCCCTGGCAGCTGGGGCAGAACAGTTGGACTCTGGAGCCTCCATTCCACATCTCTGAGTGGGCCGGGATGTTGGCAACCTGTGGGTGACAACCACACTTTACCATGGGAACCTCTCTTCTCTCCATCAGTAAGCCCTTCCCTAACCCCATGGGCATTTCCTACCCCTTTGAACCCTGACCACAGTCCCCAAGTACTCTTGTTCCCTGGTAGGAAASAGCAGTCCCATCATGCCACCAACACATGGCACAGGGGTCATCAACCTGGTCTCTCTGAAGCCTGGGTCTTACTTAACACTTCCCAAGGGACCCCCAATTTTTGCCCTCTTTAGGCCCATGGTGGCTGGTCACCATCACCCCCTGGCAGAGGAGACACTGGGAAAATGAGCCACTTTCATGAGAGATAAGTCCAGGTCCTCGACATCCACAGTCATTAAGTTGCGTGACTTACCCAGGGCTCAATTTCCAGATCTGTAAAATGGACGGGGAATCAGGCCCTTCCCCCACCGGGGCTCTGAGCCTTTGATATAAGATGAAGACAACAAGGAGAAAGGTGGGCCATCGTGGAGGCTTGCCAGATCTCCCAAACAGAAGCATAGGACTCTCAGTTATATTTGAATTTCAGGTGAATAATACATCATGAGTATGTCCCAAATGTGCCTGAGAATTATTCTTAGTATAAGTATCTCCATGGTTCATGCTTGTATTGAAAATTGGATTGTTGACCTGAAATTCAAACATAACTGGGCACCCTGTGTTTGACCTGGCAACATGCCGGGAAAAGGAGCACTCCTCAGCCTCCCGAAAAGGCTCAAAGGTGGAGGGGCTTCCAAAGCCCTTCGAATCTAGATGGGACAGAATCAACTCCCTCTAAGCAGAAGGAGCAGCTGAGCAAACACCAGGGAAAGGATTCAGAGGGGCTAACTCTGCTCTTAAACCACCGAGGGAAAGCTAGGTGTACAGGGATGTGGCTGGAGGATGCTCGAGGGGCTTTCTACTCCCTGGGAGCCCCACAAGCACCCGACCTCCAGCTCAGCTCCTCAAACCTCCCAATTCCAGCCTTTACCAGGCAGATTGTCTGAGCAACGTGTGTTGGACGTGGCCACTGGGTGGGCTAGCTAACACCAGCACGAGCTCAAAAGAGTCAGTGGTTCATTTTTCAGAGATCTTGCAAGCCAGTTGTCAAACACAGCCCTAATTAGAAGTCAAATTATATAAGCTTACAACTAGGTGAATTCTATTAACAAGAAAGATACTACCACTGGGTGTCTACATGCGAAAGAGCAAAGTCACCTCCACCTGGGGCCATATGCAAAGATTCATTCAAAATGGATCATAGGCCTAAAGAAAGATCTCAAACTATAAGACTCTTAAGAGAAGTCAGGGTAAAATCTTGATTTTAGATCTAGCAACAGGTTTCTAAGGTAGAGCCTAAACCACAAGCAGCAAAAGAAAAAAACTTGGTAAATTTGATTCAAAATTAAGGACACTATCAAGAAAGTGAAAAGACACAGAATGAGAGAAAATATTTGCAGATCGTCCATCTGATATAGGCAGAATGTATAAAGAACTCTCATACACATAAAGAATGTATAAAAAACTCGGCCACAAAAGGACAAATRACCCAATTGTAAAATTAGCGAAGGATTGGAACAGACGTTTCTCCAAGAAAGATACACAATTGTCCCAAGAGCACAGGAAAAAATACTGAATATCATTAGTCATTAGGGAAATAAAAACAAAACCACAGTCTGATATAACTCTACACCAATTAGCGTGACTAGTAATAACCATAAACCGAAAATAGAAAAACAGCCCTGTGCAAATCCAAGTGTTGGTATAGATTTGGAGAAATGGGAATCCCAAACACTGCCAAAGGCCATCAAATGCCATCGCTGCTGAGGAACACGGGTTTGGCATTCCCTGAAAAAGCTAAACAGAGCTGCCACGTGACCCAGCATCTCCACTCCAACGTGTTCGCCCCAAAGAATCAGAAACAGGCATTCAAAACAAAGCTTGTTCAGAGTGCCCGCTCCTGGTAGCTCCACTCCACACGGAGGGGGAAAGTGTCACAGCATCCATCAATTGAGGAGTGGGCAGGTCAGATGCAGCAGAGTGTCACTCGGCCACAAGACAAAAGTGACACCTGCTGCAAGGAGGGAGCTTGAAACGTCCAGTGAAGAAAACGGAAGGCCACATGCAGTGTGAGTCTAAGTTAAAAAAAGAAAAAAGAAAAGAAAAACAGAATCAGAAAATATTTAGGAACAGAAAACAAATCACAGTTGTTGCCAGAGGATGGGAAGAATGAGGAGAGACCGTTTAAGTGGGTTTCCTTTAAGGGTGATGAAACTAGGAACGAGGTAGATGTGGTAGTTGCACAAAACTCTGTATATAACTAAATGCAACTGAATGGTGCACCCTAAGATAGTTAGAGGGTGGATCTAAGGTCATGTGAGGTTTGCCTCAATAGAAAAAGGTTCTGTTTGAATACAAACATTTTAAAAGGTACTCCCTCTATCAGATAAAAGTGGTCAGGAAAGCAAGTACTTCGGACTTCTGTCACAAAAACATCCTAGACTAGGTAGTTTGAACAGCACCCACTCTCTGTCCCTCCCATGGACCTCTGCCCAGTGTTGGGGATCTCACGGCACCATATCACCTGCAAGAACACGTGGCCTCAAGAGACTGGAGAGCTTATAAATTTTGAAGAAAAGATTTAGAAAAGGTCTTCAGAGATTAGTAGGTGGCTACCAGACTCRGCAGAGCTGATGGAATGGGATAAAGTTTTCCCTGGGATGCTGCCCTTTCTACAGGCTGAGGAACGAAGAGCTTCCTTGGCTCTAAGAACCATGTCAGTAGGGCTGAGCCACTGGGAAGATCAGATGAAATCATTCATGTGAAAACCCGGAGCGCTGTGCCCGGCACCGGATAAGTTCTCAATTTATCTGAGTGTTCAATAACACGCCATAATATTTTGAACTATTAAATAATGGATCCTCCCCCACCCTATTTTCCTCCTACCCCTGCCTCTTCCCCCGTCAATCACTGCGCCAGTCTCCATCACCTCTGGGAAAGGATGAGTCTCAGGTTGGATTCCTGAGAAAGGGATTCCATTCTTGGGGGAAGGGACCCCGGGAAGTAGGGGAGTGGGGAAGGCCATCTCCAAGTGTGCCACAGACCCCCACCTGGGAGGGGAGGGCCCCAGTAGGTGTCCRGGCAGTCCCACCTGACCACGGAGGGCCTGAAAAGCGCCAGAGCCCTAAAGGCTGCCCACAGTGGGCTCCGAAACTGACTGAGGGGACTGATGGGCGGGGCTGCTGGAGTCCCTGTGGCAAGCAGAGGAGCCTGAGGAAGGAAACCTGATGGACCGCAGCCAGTTCTTCTAATGCCCAGGCTCCGAGAGGCCGGCGGGGAAGTGAAGGGAGGAGCAGAGAGGGAAGGGAGGGGCGCTTCCCCTGCGCCTCAAGGGGAGCAGAGGGAGAGGTCTCTGGGAGCAGGCCCCAGCAGCCCACAAGAACAGGGCCAGCACTCTCCACACTCCAGTCCCTGCAAAAGGGCTGGAGGCTACCCACAGAGTGCTGCCCCACAGTGCCTTCCCAAGCACCCACGAGGGGCCCAGGAGGACCAGAAGATGACAGAGGAGATACGGTTGAAAGGTCCTGAGGCAGGACCTGCCAGGGGAGCTGAGGGCCAGCACCACGTGCCCCTGTAGGTGACAAGAAGGCTGAGGCTGCAGAGAGGGAGCCTGCATCCAGACCCCAGGTCCCATGGCCACCAGCCACCTCTGCAGCCTGTCTTGTGCTCACAACACACAGAGGCATCTTTTTTTTTAAATATATTTTTTAGTTGTAGATGGACACAATACTTTTATTTATTTATTTATTTTTATGTGGTGCTGAGGATCGAACCCAGGGCCTCACACATGCAAGGCAAGCACGCTGCACTGAGCCACAACCCCAGCCCCACAGAGGCCTCTTAGTAACAGCTGATACTGTGACAAGATGCTGAGCCCACAGACACCCTCCTCCTGGGGGTGGGCATGTGGGTCAGGAAAACTCCAAGGGCCACAGCTGATTTGGGTCACTGTGAATGAACCAAGGAGAAGACAAGGCAGAGTGTCTCTGTGGGAACCCTGGGAAACTGAGGGACAGGGTGAGATTCAGGGAAGGGTCTGGGCAAAAATCCTAGTCACCTAGACTCAGGGACAAGCACTTACCCTGCTGCTACCTGAGACTCCCTTTATTCTACAGTTGTGCGGCTCCCCCCTCCCCCAACCTCCTGCACACTGCTCCTGCTCTTTGGTGCAGCTTTATGGAGGAGAGGTCAGCAGAGAGGTGAGAGAAATGTGAAGGAAGGAAGAGACCTTCCCAAGCTTTCTTCATCAAATCCAACTCAGAGGTGGGCCTGGGCGGGGAGAGAACAAGGAAATGCCACAAATAGGCTTTGGGAATATGTGTTCAGGGTCCTGGAAGAGAAGGATGTGGAGAAACTCCCTGAATAGGTGGAGCCTTTGGGAAGGAACAGACAGGGTGCGGAGACAGCAGCTGCAGGTACAAGATTCCCAGGCCTCAGGTCATTCTTCACCATTGTCCCCTGCTTCCTCATCAGGCTATGGCTTGTCCCATCTCTGCATAAGCCCCTGTCTTTCTAGAATACCATTACTTTAAAAGGGAACTATGCCCATGATAGTGTTAAAGTGCTTATGCCATTGAGTGGGACGCTAAAAAAATGGGTAAAGAGGTAAATTTTATGTCAAATTTTTTTTTTAACCACAAGTTTTAAAAGTATGTACAGAGGAGGGGACTGTCATTACACAGAGTGGAAATTTACATTCATACAAAAACCTGCCCGCAGACGTTTATAGCAACTTATTCATAATTGCCCAAACATGGAAACAACCAAGGTGTCTTTGGGTCAATGAATGGAAAAACAAACTTTGGAAACCCAGACAGTGGACACTTATTCAGCAATGAGAAGAAAGGAGCTAGCTGGCCAGAAAAGGCACAGATGGACCTTCAGTGTTGGTACTGAGCGAAGAAGGCCTGAG